AGGGACAAACCCAGCAATTGGGTTGTTTTGACCCAGCGGTTGGGTTACTACCCAGAAGGCTGGGTTAAACATTTAACCCAACCGCTGGGTCAAAACAGCCCAATTGCTGGGTTTGTCCCTATTTTACCCAGCACTGGGTTGTATTTAACCCAGCATTTTTTAGAGTGTAACCATGAGAAATCGTTTTTTAAACATTTTTTTAAATGGACGTTTTGAACATTCAGGAATAATGTTTTAGCAAAACGTTCTTAGAACATTTTTTGTTAGCACAGGGACTTTATGGGAATGTCTTTTGACTTCTATTTTTACTATTGCATGAAAAAAAGAATATTTTATTACTTGATTGTATTGTTGAATATATAGCATAGATTTTTACATTTATTGTCGTGTTAAATCTAAAATAATTTTCCAATGTATGTTTTACGGTTACAGTTAACCAACAAGCAAAAATGTTTATGAATGTCAAAATATCAAGTGTCTGTATATGTGTGTCTCAAATGCTGCATACTTTTCTTGCTCAATGTCTTTGATCAGCTGGTGTTTAATTTGGTCATTTTTAGTGGATATATGAAGTCAGTTCTCCTCAAGTTCACACAGGTGTCCTAGCAAAGGAACCATTTCAGATGTCACTTTCAATTGCTAAATCAAACCTAACAAACTTCTGTTTTGTGAAATGCTTTGTTTTGCTTGTGCATCTTTCTTTCTTTACAACAAATGCCACTTGGTTGGGTATTTTGTCATGACTTTCAGACATTTTAAAGATCATAAGTGACATAAGCGTCCAAATGCCAAGCCCGTCCAGTATGAAGTTCGTGGGAGTTTTGCTCTCAATGCTCTGGTGTGAATCAGTGAATCAAAGGAGTCAAATTCCAGCAGCGGACGTCACAGAAACTCATTCACAACACGCCGCGTAACGGGACAAAGTGCGGCTGCAATCAGGCTCTCGTCTGTTTTCTGACAACCCTGTGCCGTGGCTTCATTTTTCCAGTGGACAATGGAAAAACAACAACAAAACGAAACAAAGAACTTTGAAATATTTGCTATGAATTAAACAGAGGAACACAAACGCGAGCTTTCTTCGGGTTTCCCGACATCGTTTCCCTCTCTCAGGAAACTCGCCATTTGCTTCCCAGAGTTGGATTTTTTGTGGATCTGTTTTATTCAAGCGTCGATTAAGATTACATATCTGACAACCCCGGACTTTAAGTGGATAGCGTAAACAAACAATTCATATTCTGAAGGAAAGTGAACGCGTTCGGTTCACGCGTAAAGGCGCACGCACCGCCCATCGGCGAATGACGCGCGCGGCGTTTTGAGTTTAACTGACCGCAACTAGTTCCGTGGATTTACTGGTTTTAACCCGTCATGATGTTCGCGGGAATGATCAGGGTGGAAAACAGCTCAAAAACACCCAAAACTGGCACCGACTCCACGTGTCACCGCTGCGCTGTGAGGGCAGGTAAGACAAAATAGCATGGTATTCCTTGATGTACCTTATCACTGCATGTAATTAGCTTGGCACTGTAGTAACACTAACAACGAATTATCAAGATACCATGGTATTACTGTATTTTATTAGACATGATATGCTGGAAGTACTATGGACAGTTGTACCATGGTATTATGGTAAAGTCGCTTGTGAATACCATGGTATTGCTTGATTTTGGTTGTCACTGCATGAAAATAGTTTGGTATACTGTAAAAAATGACTTTTAGAAGTTTTACAAGAAAATACTGTTTCAGTCTTTTTGCCTTAAAATAATGTGCTTCTTTGCAATTGTGTGAAATTTACTAGCAGAGTGAAGATGGTTTCAAAGCCTTTTATTTGGTATATATGTTAAAAAGTAATTTAATTTCATGTTTGTACCATAGAACCGTAATAAATTGAGACTAACAAAAAGGTCGGCCTACTAAAGGTACCATGATATTACTATGTTTTATTGGACATGATGGATGTACTATGTTTATGAGCAGTTGTACCATGGTATTCTTTACAATAGCATTAAGTAGCATGTGAATACCATGGTAAATATGGTAGTCATTCAGCACAATGGTGTATATCAATGTCCTATGATGATGTTACCTTGTTTTTGACCATGTTGTTGCTGTTTGACCATGGCAATTCATTAAGTACCATGGTAATATATGTACAGTATATCAAAATACCACGCTGTTACCATCTGATATCATCACTCTGCCACTACAGTACTTTTTACTGACTAATGGGATGTTTTCTGAACTTTAAGCCTCATGTTTTGATTTCTAATGTGCAATATGATCTTTGGGAACGCAGTCTTTTCCTTTATATTTTTCGCTACAATCTCTTCCCACATTAAAGCTCAGCAAACAGTGTCAGAATACATGAGGATGGAGCTTCTGGTGGTCTAGCGGTTGAATTATTTTTAGACATCCATCAGAAGGTTAGATAAGTTTTCACTGAGTTTAATGAACCTTTCCAGTCATAACAGCCCTTTGCATTCAGATTCAGATCTGGCTTTCAGACATAATATTGTTGGTGCCCACAGGCAGGCGGCTGTGGAGAAACGTGAAACTCATGTAAAACACACTCGATGTGGAGAGTAACTTGAGCAAACATTGAGATGTAGTCCAAAAATTCTGCCTTGTCACTCACAATATATGTGTAGTAAAATACTTACACGACAGCTTTGCGAGTGTTTATTAGCAGTTGGCATGCTGCTAATTGGCATGGCAGAGATTAGGGCCGACAGCCATCGTGATTAGAGTCAGTAGAAGCTACTTAGATGGATGCATCTGTGTTGTCAATCTGTCAAAGTCTCTGTTCTGTTTTTACATCCATAATTCAGGTATTCAGGCCAGTTTGAGCATCTCTATCTGTTTTTCAGTGTGGAACGGCATGTAGTGCATGGGAGAGTTTTAAAGAAAAGTTAATCCAGAAATGAAAATACTGTCATTATTTACTCACCCTCATGTCGTTACGAACTTGTATGTCTTTCTTTCTTGTGAAACACAAAATTAGATATGTATCAGAAGTTCAAACTGCTCTTTTCCATATTATGAAAGCAAAAAAGGTCTGATTCTTGCTGAAAATGCCGTTAGACATAATTCCTGTCAAACATACAGGTTTGGAACATTGATGACAGAATTGTCCTTTTTGGGAGAACTATCCCTGTAACTGTGTTATTTTGATTCAGTTTCTGTTACAGTTTCATTGTTCGTGTTCTCTTTTGTCATCAGATTTGTTGATGTTCAAAGCTGTTTATGTTCAAATTGTTTGCTCAGTTCACGTGGTTTATTGTGTGTGTGTGTGTGTGTGTGTGTGTGTGAGATTTTCAGCTGGTTTGTGTCTCCTTTGTGAGCGAACAGGAAGTGCGCCGAGACTTTTGCCAGAACTTCAGCAGAAGTGCAGCTGCTAAATTTAAACGCAGTACGGAGGTTTTCTTTTGTTTGTCAAATTCCCCTGTGCACGAGTCCCTAACTTAACAAATTAGACCAGAAAATGATCCTGTTCTTTGAGAAGCTGTATTAATATTAAATATGTGTTCTGAGTTTGTCACACCACAGAAAAATGTGTTATTAACCACCCAGCCAAATTTCAATGATTAAAAAAATTTTTACTAAAAAAGTAAATAAACTAAGTTATCAAAATCTTAATAAGCAGTATTCTCTGCTCTCAAATGCTGGGGGCGTGTCCACTGTCAGCTCTGAAACCCCGCTCACTCGTGGGAAAGCACTGGCACGCTGTCTTTCTTTTGGTTGGAAGGGACTTTTTTGTGAACCGATAATAGTTGAAATTACTTGACTAATGAGCCAAACATACTGATGCATATAAACAAAAGAATCACGTTAGAGGGTTGCAAAATTTAGTAGAGTTACTGTGGACTGCCTACTATAATTATAACATAAGCACACAAGACAATTTACACTTATTGGTGGGCGCGTACTGCCAACAATGGCACCAGATGTCGGCGGGACGGGAGGATGAAGGCCAGGACGGGAGACAGTCAGTTCGGCCCCATTCACCAGTAACAGTGGATTATCAGTGAATCCCAGTTGTCTCCGATGAAAGTTTGTAAAACTATCCGGTGTGAAATGCAGAGGTGGGTGTTCGTGGTGATCCTCAGCTCTCCATCAAGGTGGCTCTTCACAAGGTGGCTCTTAATCCACCTCTTCTTTATATCATCGTTTTTAGGAAATCTAAATAAGGAGACCGAGCTGTTTTGTAAAGTATCGCAACCAAGTAATATGCATTTACATGATGAAGGCATAGCTAGCTAGCAAAGTGTAGGCTGTAGTAACTAACGGTAATGACAGTAACTCGCGATTGAGCGGGTGAACTGATGCTAATGGTCAGTGGCTCCAGTGCGTCATCGAGACATGATTTCAGGTCCAACCAAAAATTATGAAAAATTGTGGTCTAACTCTACAATTCAGTACACAGTCTTTGTAACGTGTTTTCAGCAGTACATTTCTAACATTTATAATGTTTAGAAACAATTCTCTGAGTTGCCTTTACACAGACTTTACGTTTTTAATTTGGTATAATTTGTTGTTAAAAAAACACAAATAACACATTTAATGCATCAATCTCTGTCTATCTGTCTGTCTGTCTGTCTGTCTGTCTATCGTAAGATCCGACAGCATTTGTGCAGTGGTGTGAATCAGTAGCTGTTTCCATCAGCCTGTTTTTATGTGCATTTTCAAGTATCGCATCAGAAAGGAGGGATGGAAATACCAAATTTCGGGGTAAAAAACCCCCCTTAATTTCCAAAATAGTTTTTACACTCGCTTGAGATTAGGCATGGGCCGGTATGAGATTCTGACGGTATGATAACCTTAGATTAAAAAAATATCACGGTTTCACGGTATTGCGATTACAGCTCTAAAATATGTTATTTTTAAATGTCTGGGTAAAAAACACATTTTTTTTCCACTGAACACATATGGTTTGGAGCGGTGAGGTACGAGGATGTGTGCGCATACACACGTAAGGAAAGAGAGAGCGTGAGTGTCACACACACACACACACACACGGTCTCTCCGTACAACAGTTTGTTTTTTAAATGTCGTGATTTTGAACAGATGTAAACAATGACAGGAGGCTTAAAAGTATAGACGTGATACCAGCTAAATTTAATTATTGTACTAAATCGCAGAAAAGTAGGCTACAGTACATACTTACAGACTTCGTCTTTTTCGACGGGGGAAAAAGTTCCAGGGATTAATCTCCTTCGGCCATCTTACACACAGGTGACTCTGACCACTCGCACCAACCGGAGGGGTTGAGGGGTCGTGTGACTCACTACGCTCTTCGCTGCACACAACTGAGGGAGTCCTGCACTTTCCATCTTTGACGACACGTAAAAAAACTGCGCATACCGCAGGAACGGTATAACGGAAAATTTGAGTGGTTTTGAAACCGTGACTTTTCCAAACCGCGGTATACCCTGAAACCGGTTATCGTCCCATGCCTACTTGAGATGGTTTTTGACTTGTGCAAAAAAGAGTTAATGTGAATAATGGGAGATAGAAACGCATTTTGCGAATAAATTCCTCCATGCGCCTCAAAAAAGTCATGTGACTTTGTGCTATGGGACGGCATAACCTGACTAACCAGCGGGCCGATCTCGTTGCACAGCATCTGAAATGTTGTTATGGTCGTTCTTAAATGCCTGAGCAAAGTCTGTCATCAAATTATTTCTCTATAATTGCCTCCCAGAACTGTCACAGCATCCACCTCTGAAAGCAATGACCGCATTTATTTTGTTTCGTCTTCTATAATATAATTTATTATAATTGAAAATGATTATATTCAGTGGCTTCTCCTACTTTTCTTAGTGATATTTAGTGCCAGTTTATCAGGAAGTGACGATTTTGTTCTCTTTGACTCGTTGGAATTTAAATGGTGCTTTATTTGCGAATGTTTTATGCGATTTTCCAATTGTGTGCATAAGTTAAATTCACAACTTTGGATGGAAACATAGCTAGAGTTATTTTTGTATTGTAGTTTTAATCACTATTTTGAATTCTCTATTATTTTTATATTTTATTATTTTATAATTTCAGTTTAATTTTTAGGAATTTTGTTACATGCTTTGTTGATTTTTATTAGTTTTTGTCTTTAACATTTTTTTTCTAAATAGTTCTATTTTATTTAAGTTTTAGTTTTATTTAGAACTTCAACTTTCAGCTATTTCAGTTAGTTTCCAATGCAACATTTCTAATTTTCATTTAGTTTAAGTTTTTAATCTAATATTTTATTTTATTTCAGCTTTATTAGTTAACACAGATGTTTTCGTTAACTGTAAAAACACAGCTGTGAACATGGTGTTTTGGTTGTCGTGGGCACACAGAGAGCTGAGCTTGGTCTCACTGTTGTCTTGACTGTCTGCTGTGTTAAAAAGGAGAGAGGAAAAGACTTGCAGAAAATGACCGTCAAACTCTCACTTCCTCAAACGCTGCCGTCACTGGACGAGTCAC